ATATGTATATATGTGTATATATACTGGTATACATATATATACATATATATGTATGTATATCCATCCACCCTCAGGCAAGGGAAACAAATAAAAGAGAAAAAAATAAATGAGATTACATCAAACTAAAATGTTTTTGCACAGCAAAGGAAACCATCACAAAATAAAAAAGTACCTACTAAATGGTAAAACATATTCTCTGATGACACATCTGATAAGGGGTTAATATCCAAAATTTATAAAGAACTCATATTACTCAACACTAAAAAAAAATATCCAATTTTAAAAATGGGTACAGGATCTGGATAGACACTTCTCCAAAGAGGACATACAGATGGCCAATAGACATATGAAAAGATGCTCAATGTCACTAATCATCAGACAACTGCAAATTAAAACCACAATGAAACATCACTTCACACCTGTTAGAGTGGCTATCATCAATAAATCAACAAACAACAAGTGTTGGTGAGGATGTGGCAAAAAGGGAACACTAGGGCACTGTTGGTGGGAATGCAGATTAGTGCGGCCACTATGGAAAATAGTATGGAGCTTTCTCAAAAGATTAAAAAGGGACCTGCCTTGCGACCCAGTGATTACACTTCTGGAGATTTATCCAAAGATACCCCAAACACTAATTCAACATTAGTCTTGACATTGATTTCACATCAAATAATCACATTGTACAACTTAAACTTGCATATGTTGAATGTCAATTATATCTTATTAAGGCTGAAAAGAATAAGACATTAAGTAAAAACCAAGGACATTTCAATAAAGTTTGTAATAATGTATCAGTATTGATTCATTAGTTGTGATAAATGACAATAGGGGAACATAGGGGAAAGTGGGTGTGAGGTGTATGTGAACTCTTTGTACTATCTTTGCAACTTTTCTGTAAATATAAAACCACCCTAAAATTTAAAAATATAACTTTTTAACAAAGAAAATATTTAAGATGCCTGGCCCCATTTTTGTTGCAGGTCTTTTCTGAGAGAAAAAGATCATTATGCTGATGTTCTTGGATCAAAAAGTAAATCTATCTAGATACGCACATCTACTAGTACAGACATCCCTATCGATGTCTTCAATAGTGGTGAATCCGATGGCTGCTTTTATAATATAAGCCATTTAATACAAATGCAATTAGCCGATTTTGATGTTAACAGTGTGTCATTTCTTCTTGTAGTGTCCTGGCCGGTTACAATGGCACCATCTTTGCATACGGGCAAACAGGCAGCGGTAAGACCTTCACCATCACGGGCGGGGCAGAGCGCTACAGCGACAGAGGCATTATCCCAAGGACACTGTCGTACATTTTTGAGGAGTTGCAAAAGGTATAGAACTATAAGTTCATTTTACATTTGATATATTCAGCAAAAATTTATTGTGTGCAAAATAGTTATTTTGACATTTTATTATATTGTATCAAAATGAGAAAGTATTATTGTGGAATATTTCTGTCCTTGAGATTGAAGGGGAGTTTGGGGTTTTGCTGACAACGCGGAAATTGAGAAGGTGCCTCTCATTAAAGGGATGCTGTTCCAGCAAAGGCTCAGAGGGGGCTCCTCTGACACACACGTAGGTTAAAAGAACAGATAACACATTTTACAACCAATATTTCTTATTCTTCATTAAGAAACTGGAGAATGCCCTTTTGCCAAGACAGACCTTTATTTTAGCTGCTAAAGCACTGAATAGGACAATGTGATTGTTCCCTTATCACACTTTTAATAGAAGCCCACAGGAATTTACTGGAGTAAAAGTCCAATTGCAATTAATCTATACTAATAAAAGGGTAATATGCTAATTAGACCAGACATATTCCAGTCATCCTTCCAGATGTCCTTCCGGACAAAGCCACGGTGGCGGGGGCCGAGGCAGAGGCAGTTATAGGTGGCCAGGCCAGCAGGGGAGCAGTTATGGGTCAGCCAGGCTAACAGGGGAGCAGTTAGGGAGTGGCCAGGCCGGCAGGGGACCAGTTAGGGGGTGATCAGACCAGCAAGCTGAGGCAGTTAGAGGGTGATCAGGCCGGCAAGCAGAGGCAGTTAGGGGCGATCAGGCAGGCAGGCAGGTGAGTAGTTAGGAGCCAGTGGTCCTGGATTGCGAGAGGGTGCAGGCCTGGCTGAGGGACTCCCCCTCCCACCCCTGTGCACGAATTTTGTGCACCGGGCCTCTAGTATTTCTATAAAGACAAATTCCCTATCTATATTATAAGCATCATTTATTGTGTGGCTCCAAGTGCCACTTGTTTTATAAATATTTAATACAACATATAATACAACTAACAAAGTAGGCATCCTTATCCCCATTTTATATTTGGGAAAACTAAGTCTCAGATTAAATGTCTTTCTCTGGGTCCTTGTAAGTAGCTGGTTGGAGGTCCATGCCAGAAGTGCATGTGCTTTCTGTCTCCATGCACGCTGCCCAGGCTGGATCTGCTGTACTGGTTGTGTCTAAACACATTCTCTCCTGTGAGCCACTTCTCTGAGCTTCAGCTCTCCCTCTATGGGAGCAGGGAGTGAGTTGTACTAGAGGATCTCCACAGTCCCTAGCAGTTCTAAGTGCTCGGTTGTCCTAATTCTGTATAACTAATGCCCTAACTAGGTCAGTGTAACAGTCATCGCAACATTTCTCAACTGTATGCTGTTTGCATTTCAAGTTGCAACAATGAGAAGAAATCGCTGAGATCTGCATAATTCTAATTTCCAGCCATAAAGTAGCAATTACCCATTAGTTCAGCTCATCTCTCACTAGCTCACACATTCCAACTCCGCATGCCAGAATATTAGGAACAGAAAGAGTTGAGTATAGTGTATATGTTGAATCCAAATCCCTTCTTTTCATTTACTCATTTATTTCTGACATTAGCTGCTTTGTTTTTCCCCAGATCTCAGAAACTGGGGATATGCTTTGTCTTGGTGCTTATTGATGTGGCCTAATGTGGAAGCCTGGTGTCTAGGTGAGGTCATGGGAGTCGTGCAGGCCAGCCCGCTTCTACTTGCAGCCTGTGGACTTGGGCAGTTTCTTAAAGGTCCGGGATGTGGGGTTTCTCTGAGAGCTGAGCTTACTGTACTTAAAGACATCGCCCAGTTCTTGGCACATAGTAGGTGCTCAATACGTAGTTGTTATTACTACAGCTGTCAATGTCCACATGCAGCAGGTCCTCGGATAACGCCCTCTCCTTCAGCAGGTACATTACGACGCTGATAGATGCTGCAGGAACTTAACTCTTGTGTATGTCAATTAGCCTCTGGTAAAATTGGTTTGATTACATGTCATTTCTCTTAAAGACGCAGAACCTAGTGACAACTTGGAGGACTTCTTGTGCTATATAGGCATATAGATAAAATATCCCTGACCAATTTCAAATAACCCTTTGAAACGCAGAACACATAAAGTCATTTCCCCTGATAAAGTTAAACAGAATAAACAAATCCTTTCCTAATAGAAAATATATTTGTCTCTTTGCAAATTTTGTCTATGGCTATCAAAATACACACACACACAAATATAGTTCTAAAAGTCTACCTGTCTCCCCAGTACCTGCCATGTGTCAGGTGCATTGCTTTATGTGTTTGTCATTGACATTACTCTAGACCCCATTTCATCCTGAGTGACCCTGCGTTTGGAGAGCGGCCATCGGACCAATTTACAGCCATGACAACTCTCTGTAAATGGACAGTTTCCACGCTGGGGGAGCAGCACGTTCATTGTAATCTAACTGAGCTGCGGCAAAGCCAGGCAGAGGCAGCTGGAGTGCATCACAGAGAATGTCCAGAAAGTGCAGCCGCGACATGCAGCCAGGTGCTCGGCTGTCCCCAGTCGTAGCCGTAGAGGCCCCGTGAGTTCTCTAGGGTTCTTGAATAAAACATTTGACGTATGCGGAGTATTTATTCTGAGATAAACTAAGAGCGAGTACATACCGGGCTCGAAAGTGCCTGTGAGTGCGGTAGGAGCACATTCTCAAGGATTTTAAAAGAAGAAAATTGAGTCCATTATTATAGAAATCACTGCTCATTCTTTTAGAGTACTGTGAGGCTCAGACTTGTTTGGGGCAGAAGAGAAGGCTGTCTGCAGGCAACACGTGTGTTACATTACAATCCGGAGCACTGAGAGAGGGCCCTAAGGAAAGGCAGCTCCCACATCGCTCAGCAAATTCTACTCCAGTGAAAGCCCAGAAACTGCAGAAGCTGGGGGCCAACCGCATTATCCCTATCACCTCAGGCCGTGGGCCTGCAGTCTTCCCAACTTTTTCTCATTCTTTCTAATTTCTGGAAAGAGAGAGTTTCTCCAGTGTAAATGCACATACCGGTTAGCTGTTCTTTCTGCCTCATTTCCTTTCTTTTTATATTCACACTAGAGGTCCGGTGCACAAAAATTTGTGCACTGGTGGGGGAGGGGGTGGAGGGTGTCCCTCAGCCCCACTTGTGCCCTCTCATAGTCTGGGACCCCTTGGGAGATAACCACCTGCTGGCTTAGGCTCACTCCCCGGGTGGCAGATGGCAGGCCCGATCCCTCAGTGCCTGCCCCACCTCCCAGGGTCGCGCACACGGCAGGGCTGATTTGGAGGTTGGGGCGCCACCCTGGGTCAGGTCGCAC